TAATAACGTCAAACCGCTAACAAAGTTTTTGATTTTACAACTCTATTATAACAGCTTTTACACCAGTTTTGAAATAATTATATTAAACAATTATTAAACTTGTGGTATTTAACAATGAATCAAGAAAACAAATTAACTCTAGTCATGTATTCACCAAAGCAGTAAATTAAGATTTAACGTTTGAAGTTTACGTTTGGCGTATAAATTTCATGCTTTAACGACTACAAACCTTCGTATAGCAGTTCAAGCATAAAATTTATACGCCAAACGTCAACTTCAAACGCCTGATCTTAATTTATTAAATCATTGCTAAAGAGTGCTAGTTTAATAATTGTTAATTAATATACTTCAAAACTGGTGTAAAAGCTGTTATAATAGAGTTGTAAAATTAAAAACTTCGTTAGCGTTTTGACGCTTGCCGTAAACGTCAAGCTAAAGGTCTCTATTTATACTCCTTCGTGGGCCTGCAATTTTGCAATCAAGCGTTTGATCTATTTTACACAAAAGTTCCCTACACTAGCTTCTACTTAGTTCAACTATATTCAATTCTTAATTCAACTCATTTTATTGAAAAGAATAAAAATGAAATTTATTTATATTATGTTTTGTAGGTCAGTTATGGAAGGCTTCATTGATTTTTCATCTAACAATTGTAGTAGAATCAGAATTGTATTTTCGTCCAATGTTGGACATACTAAGTGCACTCTCAATTGATCATGATGAATCAAAAACGGCGCATTTGGCACGTTCAGAACGTGTTGTTTTGGCCTTTCTTGGAAGACGGACAGAATTTTTCAGATCTCAGCTTGGTCTCCCTGAGGAAGATTCTGATGAATTTGAAAAGATGAAACCAAAATTTCAAGAAAGAATGAGAAAGTTTTACCCGAACGAAGAAGATGAGAGCTTTTGGGCACGGTGTTTTGCGATTGATATATCTAATATCACGTCAACATGTCGTCCATCTGGTAGGTTAACTAAAGTTGAGAAAATTCTGAATCGTGTGCTGGACGAAATGCAACAGCTGTCATTAGATCTATTGGACGAAGCTGCCACCCACACACAGGAACCGAGGACTGGAGATGCCAAACAGTCTGAAACATGAGGTAATGTTGACTATGAAAAACGTTTTAAAACGCTGGCATGCAGGAAACATTTGACCAGGGCGGTTATGACTTAATAATTTGGGTGAATTAGCATGATTAACTTGCGACGAACTACAATCCTGGCCAAAAAATATTAGTACACTTGTCATTTACAGGGCTTAATTTTTCTCCTTCCGCAGAAAGAAGCATGTATCGAACTCCTTTCCATTCGTTCTGCTTTCAGTGTGTTGCAAGGTGTTAACCAACATTGTATGGGAGAGAGAGCGATAGGGGGTCTTATAACAAACATGCATACTTGCAGGGAGGTGAGTCCGGGATTGGACGCACCGAGGGTGGCTGGAAGTTTCCCGAGCGAGGTGAGTTCGGGAAACGACCAGCCACCCGAGGTGCGTCCAATTCTGTACTCTCCGAACCTACAAGTATATGTTTGGTTTTTATCCATACACCGAGCCATAAACATTATAGCTCTTTGCGATATATTCGTCGATGTTTTGACAACATTTTCTCGGCCAAAAAATCACTGGGCTCTTAATACTTTTTTTTATCTACGTCTAGATTACCTTTATTCTTCAGTCTCCGTAGGTTTGTCACCGAAAAAAAGTTCTCTTAAATTTAGGTTTATCGGCTAAATCGTGCCCGCCATATTTGTTATTGTTATTGCATCGTAAGTAGTTTCGCGGTTGAGTTCGGCGAAAAACAGGTGAGCTCGGCGAAAGGCAGGTGAACTCGACGACAAGCTCACCTGCTCTAAACCGATCAGAAAGCTGCTTTTAACACAGGTATGGGATAAGATTGAAGATGTGAACAGTACAACGAGGGAGAAAGGTTAGACGGGGAAAAACATTCCAGTCATATTGGGAATTCCATTTTCATGTCGACATCGTGATAGATGGGTTTTCTCAAACGTACCATACTGTTGCTACTGTTTTAATATTTTGATGCTATTGTCTTCTTAGGGGAAAGCTGTGCAGATAACGCCGACAGTTCAGCGGTCAATAACAGCTAGGAACATTAAATTTATAACTTTTAACGATAATATTTTATTTGGAAAACGTCTTTAGCTTGCGGTCGATTAACAATTTATAAATGGTGCATTTGGATTGTTATGTTATACTGTATATTGAAAATAAGCATTTTTTAACAATGACCCATTTTAGCTTTGCGTGTATAACAGTATATTAATAATTAACTATTTTAGCTTTGCGTGTAGAACAGTATTTTAACAATTAACTATTCTGGCTTTGCGTATACGATAACAGTAGTAAATATTAACTGTATTTTAACAATTAACTATTTTATTCTTTGCGTATATTATATTTGTGTTATACATTTTGATAAAGTGTTGAAATGCCTTGAAATACCTAGCTGCTGCAATGTTACCATTTTGTTCATTCCTTTTGAGTGAGGTAATAATAAAGTCTGTGAAAATTCCCCTGCAAATTAATCACTAACCACGTAATCTCTAATGATACGTAGGTCAGGGTTTTGAGAAAAATACTGTGGGGCCCACCAGGTAGGAAAATTTGAAACAGCCCAACTATTTTAATCTAATGTTTCGTCCACATATAGTAAACTAACCATGGGCTTAGGAAAGACGGAGTTAAGTTACATTGATGCCTCCTCGTTCCATTCATATGTTTCCATCCAAGTTACCCTTATTGACTTTGATCCTTCCTGATATGTTTCAGTTGATAGCTTATAGCCCATTTACAGAATCGCTGGTAGTATTATACAGGCGTCTCCTCGCCGTCGAGGCAACGTGTCCATAATGCTACGCATTAGTAATTCTTCAAACTACATATCTTTCCATTTGGTCTCAAGGTGAATGTATAACAGTTATCAAATTTCAATTTAGTAGTTCACACAAAAATCTCATGATTTATGTTCAATTTAGTAGTTCACACAAAAATCTCATGATTAATCTGGTACGTCCGGACTATGTATACTATTAACCCAAACCGCGCGCACCCGAGCGAGGGGGCCCGGGGCAATTTCAAATTTTTTTCTGGAAAAATTTTTGTCGGACAACTCCCCTCCCAAATTTCGGTACTTTGCCCAAAAAAAACCCAAATATCTTGCCCTTTTCGCGGGAATATTTCACCCAGAAAGTGACTGGCACCCGACAAAAAATTTCTGGGGGCCCTCAGAACAGGGGGGCCCGGGGCAATTTTCCCCCCCCCCTGCACACCCTCTCGGCGGCCCTGGACGTAGCCATAATGCTGGTTTCGTATCAAACATATTTAAGTAACATATATTGTATAAAAATATTTATTAACGTTATGCCATAAAATATGAACTTGAGAATTTTTAGCAAGAAGCTGATTACAATAACAATGAATAATTATGAATACATTTTAGGTATCATATACATAGACCGCGTAAAGGCTGATTTAGACTACATAACTTTTGCCTAAAACTGTCCCATGCAACTTGCTTACAACTCGAGTTGTATTGTGCATGTAAATCAGCAACCAATCGTCGATAACCTTGGGTGAGTCAAACGAATCAAATTATTCAAATATCTCATTATATAATTTAGAAAAAATACCATTTCATCGGGGCATGTCTATGGCATGTTTGAATATAAATAGTTTATTTGCCCATATAGACGAATTACGAGTATTTATGAGTAATAATAAAGTAGACATATTATGTATTAATGACAATGAAATCCATATACCAAATTTTGAAATCATTCGAAGAGATCGACGTACAAATGGCCGTCACGGTGGCGGCATTTGCATTTACATTAGAAGTAGTATTAATTACAAAATACGACATAATCTACAATCTGAAACTCTCGAAAATCTAGTTGTAGAAATTAAGAAACCACGATCTAAGTCTATCCTAGTTAGTACATGGTATAGACCTCCAGATTTACCTACTAGTTACTTTGCCGAATTCGAGCAAGTGATTGGATCGTTCGATGCTGAAAATTTAGAGTATTTTCTGCTTGGTGATTTAAATGTTTATTTTACCCCCAACAACTGAGTCACCGAGCAAGAATAAAGTAAAAAAAATACTTGATATATACGATGTCGAACAATTAATAAACGAACCGACACGAATTACTGCTACATCTAGCACCCTGATCGATTTATGCCTAACCAATACACCTGTAAATATTGTGAAGTCTGGTGTCATACACGTATCTATTAGTGACCATTCATTAATATATATGATACGTAAGGCTAACTATATACGAGGGGGCCCCAGAACGATAGATGCTAGAACAATGAAGAACTTCAACAGAGAATTGTTTGTAAGCGATCTTGAACTAAACCATTGGGATAGTGTCTATTGCTCCCAGGACCCTAACGAAATGTTTGATTCTGGAAAAAAATGCTCATGAAAACCATAAATAAGCACGCACCACTTAGATCCAGGAGAATTAGAAATAGAAAATCTCCCTGGATTACAAAAGATTTAAGACGCCAGATATTTAACCGAGACTACCTAAAAAAGAAAGCTGTTACATCCAATGATCCTAAAATCTGGCATCAATATCGACAAACTCGAAATCACATTAATAATGAAATTTAAAAAACTAAACAAGCTTATTATAAGAATAATCTTGAATCGAGTAAAGGCAACATGAAAAAACATGGACCTTATAAATGAACTAAGCTCTAGAAATGTAAGCAAAACTAAAAAGATAACACAATTAGATTTTGAAGAGCGAGAAATAACTGCACCTGAAGAAATAGCTGAAACATTTAACAGCTACTTCTCAGGTATTGGTGAAAAACTTGCTTCCGATATTCCTGCTCCTGTGCGTGATCCAGTATTTTATCTTAAACCAACTGATAAATCTTTCTCTCTCAAAACTCCCTCGGTTAACACGTTTATCAACTGCTGACTACATTAGATGATAAGAAGTCAGCTGGTTTGGACAATATGTCAAACAAATTCCTAAAGATAGCTGCAAGTGTTATTGCACCATCGTTAACAGGAATATTCACTGCATCTATTAATACCGGAATATTCCCGTATGAATGGAAGGCAAGCAGAGTAACGCCAGTATTTAAGAGTGGCACAAGAAATAACCCAGGCAACTATCGGCCTATATCAATTATTCCATGTGTTGCTAAAATTTTTGAAAAAATAATTTTCGATCAACTACATGGGTATCTTGATTCAAATAACTTGCTGAACACATGCCAATCTGGATTTCGACCGTTTCATAGTACCCTAACAGCGTTGCTAGAAGCCACAAGCGACTGATCCATGAATATTGACAATGGCCTAATTAACGGAGTTGTATTTATTGATTTAAAGAAAGCTTTTGATACGATCGATCATCAAATTATCCTGCCAAAGCTTAAAAATTATGGTATTGACGAAAACAGTCTTACCTGGTTTCATTCATATCTCATTGATAGAACTCAAAAGTGCCGGGTAAACGGTTAACTGTCAGATTCTGTGCCAGTGGCCTGCGGTGTCCCTCAAGGTAGCAGTCTAGGGCCATTGCTATTCCTCATCTACATTAATGATTTACCGAACTGTCTTGATCATACAACTGCAAGAATGTTCGCAGATGATACAAGTATTAGTTATGCGTCCGACTCAGCCAAAGAGCTCCAAAATGTCATTAACACCGAATTGAAAGGTCTAAGCGATTGGCTAACCACTAATAAACTAAGCTTAAATATTGTAAAAACAGAATTCATGGTAGTTGGATCTAGACAGAGAATAAAAACACTAAATAATGAAATAGATATTGAGATAAACGGTAATATGGTCAACCAAGTTACTTCGGTAAAATCTCTGGGTGTCCATCTTGATAATCACCTTATGTGGTCTGAGCATACTGATAAACTATGTAAAAAAATTGCTTCAGCCATAGGGGCTTTAAAACGTATAAGATCCTGCATTTCAACGAACACGGCTATCCAAGTATACCAAGCACTGATTCAACCTCATTTTGACTACTGCTGCTCGGTCTGGGATGGTCTTGGCGAAACGCTAAGTTCTAAACTACAAAAATTACAGAACCGGGCGGTCAGGGTCATTACGAGGTCCAGCTATGACACTAATGCTACTGTGCTTCTTGATACTTTACACTTGGATAACTTATCGTTGAGACGCAAAAAACTTAAAGCTGGCTTGATGTTCAAAACACTCAAAGGTGACACACCTACCTATCTACAAAATCTTTTTTCAGTTCGTGGCTCAGAATATAATCTTAGGAACTTTGAAATGAAATTAAATCTACCCAAGCCACGAACTAATTATCTGAAGCGAAGCTTTCAGTACAGTGGAGTAGTGCTGTGGAATAGCCTTCCCGAAAATATAAGAATGCTCCAATCGTTTGCTCAGTTCCGGAAAGCTGTAAACAAGTATTATAATAGTTTAGATGAACTCCCACACGGCAATCTTGTAAACCAGTAGATCATATTCTTTTATTTATTTTTGCATGCTTAAACTTACATATATATATATATATATATATATATATATATATATATATATATATATATATATATATATATATATATATATATATATATATATATATATACTGAAGATTCCACCGTGGATAAATAAATTTTTATTGTATTGTATTGTATTGTATTGTATTGTATTGTATTGTATTGTATTGTATTGTATTGTATTGCATTGTATTGTATACAACTCGCCTACGTTGTCGCAGGTGAGTTGTGGGCTTGATTTACACAGTACAATTTAAGTTGTAAGCAGGTTACATACGACAGTTTTAATTAGGCGAAGTTGTGCAGTCTAAATCTGCGAAATGATTAAAGGGAAGAGCGGCGCGTATTGAAATCGTTTCTAAAATGCTTCGAAAATCCAACTCTCCCCAAAAAATTTTTTGATTCATTGCGCAATTTCATCAACATCGTGCAAATTTTTGTCCCCCTCCCCTCCACCTAATTTTCCCCTCCCGTCCTCCTGCATACGTATATCAACATGGAATGAAATAGAAAAATGGGTATGAGTACAGAAGTAACTATGAATTGTCTCCTTTCTTACGGCTGGAAAGGGTTTTTGAAGAGTTGTTTGCCACAATAAAATGATTCTCCATCGGTTTTGCTGTCCGTTTGTACCCATCATTTTCTATTGTTTTGAAAGGAAAAGCACCCAAAAGCATCAGATCATTTCTTGTTTTTTGCGGATATATAAAACTATCCAGGCTCTTCGGAATAAGATCATTTGCGACTGAAACGTTTTTTTCCGAGGTTCTTGTTTCAATATGGTCTTCTGATTGTGCGCTAGACACTGAAATATTTGGCACAATATTTTCAAAAATTTTGGCACTATCTTTCTGTGAATTAGAATTACCATTGGTATTGTAACCTTTAAATTTTTTGGTACCAAACGTTCTGTTTTTCCGCCTATCTCTATTCTTTGGTAATACTTTTTCGAATTCTCTGTTTTTTGATTCTGTTGTTTGACTTATCATTTCTTCCAGTGAAGCGGTATTATCTTTCCTGTCTTTTTTACCACTGTAGAACTCTTTCATCCGTTCAAAAGATGTTTTCCCTTTCTCAATATTAGTTTTAGTTTGTTTTTCTCTTTCTTCAATGTCACCTTTTTCATTTGAGTTAGTTTGCGAATTATCTTCTGTTTGACTTACCATATCTCTAAAGGGGACATTTTGAAATTTTGATAGTCCAAAATTTGTCAAATTAGAAGTTTTAACTTTTCCCGTTTCTTTTACCAGTTGTTTTGTAGAATGTTTTGGCCTATTACTAGATTCATTTCTCGGGAATGATGGGAAAATATTAGAAGTGTTACCAGTTTCATTTGGTAAAAAATTCCTTTCTTCTGTAAATGTATTACTTTCAAAAAGCTTTTCATTTTCTGTACTAACATAGTTTTCAACATCTTTTTCATAAAGCAACTGCTTTTCTTTTGTAGTAAATGTATTTCCATTCATGGAAATGTTTGCATCTTTTCTTATAAAAGGCTTGCTTCTATTCGACTGCTTCTTACTCTTATCTGTTGCCCCTCTAGTAGTATTGGACTCCATTACAAGCTTTGTGGAAATAATCGATGTGTTTTCATCTGTTCTTTTGGTTTTGTTTCTAATTTGGGGGCGAGAATCCTTGTCTTTGTTCAAAGTAGTCTTTGGAATTTTTGGCTCGTCTTCAAACGCTTCCAGAAGAACGTTATCTTTAGTACTTTTATCTCCGTCATGATCTTTTCTTTTGATCATTTCCATTCTTAGTTTTAATAAGGATAACTTTCGAAGAAGTATACGCTCTTTGGCATACAAGCGTTTTAGTTTCGCTCGATTGCTCTGATGTATTTTTCCTTTGTGCTTTTTCCTTCTTCTTGGCTTCTTAGTCTTATAAGGCTTTTTCTTGTGCTTCGATGGAGAAATTTGCTTAACGTTAAGATTTTTCTTCTTTTTGTGTTTATGGCTGCTATCCTGTGTATGGTTATTAATTATTTTGTTTGGCTTTTGGTTGGGGTGATCTCTTTCGTCCACAGGCAATGATGTTAAACTCTGGTCCTGAGAACGAATTTCACTTGACGGGTCGTGATTCGCAATATTTGACCGAGCGTAGATGTACGCAATTTGTGGCTTGTACCCAGACGACCGCGCGGTCACGACTTCACAAAGGGTCTGTTTCTTGCATGTTACCGAGAAGCAGCGGTTGCTCAGCATGAAGGCCAGGTCACATGACTTGGCAATGCAGCAAATACGTAAGCACTCTTGCATGTTGGGTAATACACCTCTGTCACGAAATGTCCCGGACGTAATGCCTCCCCGCAATGTGACGTTGTACATGATCTCACTGTTAGTGCAGTAGTGTTCGCTATCCACACTTGGTAGGCTGGGAGGCGGCACATGAGGCATTTCTGATGTTGTAGTGTTCTTCGAATTCTTGAGATCTCCTGAAATAAAGCATTGGCCGATTATAATAATATAAGAATTCAAACAAGTTCGGCTGCCAAGTAGGAAAGTTTAATTAGGGTTACGTTTACATTGTAACAAATAGCTTTCCATAGCGGCACGAAAAAGTAGCTGGTTAAAGATCCAGACAACGGACAACGGAGTACGGTTGAAAGCTTGTTTTCACATTGCTTTAAGAAAAACAGACAGAATTTAGATATCCCCAGGGCATTTTTTCACCGTAGCGACCTTGGCAACAGAGTAAAAACCACATTCTTGTGTTGTAAAACAGCTTCAAAAACTCATTAATAATTCATGAAGCAATTATCCAATCTTGAGTAAGAAATTAGTCATGTGCATACGTCTTTATACCAGCTAAAGAACACTTTAACAAAAGACCATTGTTATGCAAACTATATAAAGGTTTTTATATAAAGATTTTTATATAAAGATTTTTATATAAAGATTTGACTTATTATGCATACGTTTTTGAAGTCATTCAAAAAACTCGCGGGTCGTGTTTTATTAGGTCTAAAGCCACTCGCGCTGCGCGCTCGTGGCTTTAAACCTAATAAAACACTCCCGCTCGTTTTTTAAATAGTACTTCAAAAACTCATTAGTAATTCATGAAGCAATTATCCAATCTTGAGTAAGAAATTAGTCACGTGCATACGTCTTTATACCAGCTAAAGAACACTTTAACAAAAGACCATTGTTATGCAAACTATATAAAGATTTTTATATGAAGATTTTTATATAAAGATTTTTATATAAAGATTTTTATATAAAGATTCGACTTATTATGCAAACGTTTTTGAAGCCATTTAAAAAACTCGCAGGTTGTGTTTTATTAGGTCTAAAGCCACTCGCGCTGCGCGCTCGTGGCTTTAAACCTAATAAAACACTCCTGCTCGTTTTTTAAATAGTACTTCAAAAACTCATTAATAATTCTTGAATCAATTATCCAATCTTGAGTAAGAAATTAGTCACGTGCATACGTCTTTATACCAGCTAAAGAACACTTTAACAAAAGACCATTGTTATGCAAACTATGTAAAGATTTTTATATAAAGATTTTTATATAAAGGTTTTTATATAAAGATTTTTATATAAAGATTTGACTTATTATGCATACGTTTTTGAAGTCATTTAAAAAACTCGCGGGTCGTGTTTTATTAACACCGCGGAAAAACGTCTGCGCATGCACCAAATTATGAAAATATGGCGGGGAATTTGAATATCAATTTCTAAAACAAAAACATGCTTATTAATTGGTCAAAAATTAGTAAAACAAACGAGAAAATATAGCAAATGGGTAGACTAGACATTAATTGAAAGCGTCCTGGCATTTAAAGTATGGAATGAAATATAATTCATGTAAAAAATTGTTGATTTTAACGGACACGACTTCGAAAATTTTTGCAAAATTATTCAAAACAAAAATTCAAACTCAAAAGTTAAGAAAACTCTCGAAAAGTTAAGCTTCTTAACCCACTCAAATTGTAGAATAAATCCTAAAGTTTAATTATTGTGAACACGAAAATTTTTTATATTTGGCGACACAGTTTTTTTTAAAGAAATGTATCTCAAACGAAAATTCGGAAATTGTCGTTGCTTAGTTGATAAACAAAATGTTTCAGACGATAAATTTGTCAACAATCACCTTTAGTTCATGTTCTTGTACAATACAACTTCTTGAACCTTCTGGCTGTATTTATTCCTAGTTTTTAGAATGACATGTTTATTTTTGCGCTCGAAATCTGGCTGTAAAGACGTACAATGAAGTCACTCCTTTTTACCGCCATTTTGAGCCTTCGGAAACGTTCTTAACAGCTTCTCATCAAGTTCGCAATACTATTACAGGTAAGGTTGACGCATGCGCAGACGTTTTTCCGCGGTGTTTGTTTTATTAGGTCTAAAGCCACTCGCGCTGCGCGCTCGTGGCTTTAAACCTAATAAAACACTCCTGCTCGTTTTTTAAATAGTACTTCAAAAACTCATTAATAATTCATGAAGCAATTATCCAATCTTGAGTAAGAAATTAGTCACGTGCATACGTCTTTATACCAGCTAAAGAACACTTTAACAAAAGACCATTGTTATGCAAACTATATAAAGGTTTTTATATAAAGATTTTTATATAAAGGTTTTTATATAAAGATTTTTATATAAAGATTTGACTTATTATGCATACGTTTTTGAAGTCATTTAAAAAACTCGCGGGTCGTGTTTTATTAGGTCTAAAGCCACTCGCGCTGCGCGCTCGTGACTTTAAACCTAATAAAACACTCCTGCTCGTTTTTTAAATAGTACATCAAAAACATAGTACCGAAACTGACTACGCAACTTTGCAGGTTGGAGAAAGTATTTTTATAAAGAAATGATGAAAATTAAAAGATGAAACTTGCCGAACACAAAGCTATGGACATAAAACATATTTGGAAATACATTCGTTTTGACAAGCATTTAGTATTTGCATACATACAACAAAAACTATTTCAAACGTAGTCGGTAGTTCATCGTCAAGATCTTAAACTCCCTAATATTTATCCGGTACGGAATGTACAACTTTCAGAAACCACGAGTAAAATAATATCTGTCCGTTGCAATAATTCTTGGGAAAATAGCGTTCCTAAAAGGTACGGAAAAAGTTTTTTTCACATCGCTACGGAAAGCTATCTGGTATAGTATAAACGTAGCCTAATATGGATCCGAGCTATCCAGCTTGCCCAGTTACCTGTCTTCGTTGGCAAAAAAAAGCGATCTGTTTATATATGAAATCCAGGTACTCTGCAATTAACATGTGATTGGCAAATTCGCACCCAATACAGGTGATAAAGCATAATAAAATGTCACTCATTTAATTAATACTTATTCGCATTTTCACCATGCAAGCCATGGGCATACCTTTTTGGTGATGTTTCTTCCCTAGATTCTTGCCATGTACTTTTTCGTGCTTCTTGTGATAGTTACGTGGCTTCTCTCTCACCACGTAAGATATCATTGGTTTAAACCCAGATCCTGGTGATCTAACCTCCTGACAGCCTTCCTCGGTATGACAGCGAACTGTGAAACATGTGCCGTTTATCACAAAGGCCAGATCGCAAAACTTTTGCATACAGCATACACGTATGCACTCTTCCATATCATCAACTGGTCCAAATGCTTTGTATTTCCCGGCATGTCTTCCGCCACGGAGCGTGACGTCATATGATATGACGTTTGATTTGCATACTTCACTTTGTCTTTGAAGGATAACGGAATTTACTGTAAAAGAAAGTGGGTATTGAACTGATTGTATACTTACAAGATATATACATGTCCCACGCCTTAAATTCTTCTAGCGGTATCGTATTCTACTAATTGACCATTCCCTTAAGTAAGTTCGTTATTCTGGAAAGTTCTGTCTGAACTGTTTTCCCTAGAGTTCCGCCAAAAGTTTTTTGTTTTCATTGCTGGTGATCCTAAACTTACACAATATACATGCACTTTTATGCTGGAGGAATCAGAGCAATTAAGGTGCGATTTTTCACATGTGATATTTTATGTGGAATTGTAACATTTCACATGTGAAAATCGTGATTTTATATGCAAAATTTAGAATTTTCACACGTAAAATTTGAGTTTCACATATTTTTCCCATGTGAAATGAAAGATTTATATGTGAAAATTAATTGAACATATGAAACATATTAACTGTTTTCGGATTGTTCATTTTGTATTTTTTTGAGTTTTTTTTATGTGGAATTGGAACACTCGTGGGAAGGTACACTGTTAATTTGAAGGTGTTAAAATAGCACCTTCGTAGGTGTTAAAATGACACCTTGTGGTGGTGTTAAATAAAAAGTGTTAATCTAACACCAATTTGGGTGCTGAATTAACACCATGAAGTTGGGAATTGATTTTGAAGTGCTAAATTAGCACCATAGATATTTAACACTTTTCTAGGGTGTTAAAATAACACCCATTCTATTGAGTGAAAGTGTTAAAGTAGCACCGTTTTGAGAGTTAAACTTAGGGTGTCAAAATAGCACCTCGTGAACCGGTTTTCAGCTTCAAAGTGGCGGACCACGTAGGAGCGGTTTACGTTTTTCAGACCAGTAAATGGGGCAAAGGATCATATTTTTACATATTATCGCCTTTAATGTAATCCTTGTAGGGCCTCATTGAAAAACTAATAAAAAATAATCTATTAAGCAATCTGTCATTTTGGTGTTAGTGATGTCAGGAAAGTGTGCAGTGATAAACAGTAAAAATATGCAGTGAAAAGAAATTGTGTGGTGATGACAAAATATGTTCATGCAAGGGAGATATAACAAGACAGCTAGAATTTTAAAGCAGGTTTATTTGCACTGGATTGCTCACATGATTGAGATCAGTGCCTTCAGAAGGCCTCCCAGAAGGCTTAGCGAGAGCACATTTCTAGCGCGTCGTTTGGAAATTTTAATTTAACGTCGGTTGATAAAGCCAAGATTTCCCAAATTATAGTAGAAAATAAGAAGAAATACTCCATTGTTTGAAGATTCAGACAATAATTGTAAATGTAAGTGCGGCTAAATTGCAGAATACCCGTCCACTAGTTATCTTTCACTGCGTAGCCAGATTTTCAGTGGCTACGCAGTCACGCGTTATCAAATTACAATATCAAGGAAATACCTCTCTCTTGTTGATATCATGACGTAATTGTAATGAAGCTATTTTTTTAGTGGCTACGTGGCTACGCGGCTACGCAGTGAGTTTTTGAAAGAACGAGACATTGGTATGATGACGTAATTATTAAAGTATACTGTAGGTATATTTTTTAGTGGCTACGTGGCTACGCAGTGAGTTTTTCAAAGAACGAGAAATTGGTATGATGACGTATAATTACGTCATCATACCAATGTCTCGTTCACGCGTTATCAAATTACAATATCAAGGAAATACCTCT